ATCTCAGGAGGGATTTTGTCCCACTCCTCTTTGCAGATCTTCTCTAAGTCATTAAGGTTTCGAGCCTGACGTTTGGCAACTCGAACCTTCAGCTCCCTCCACAGATTTTCTGTGGGATTAAGGTCTAGAGACTGGCTAGGCCACTCCAGGACCTTAATGTGCTTCTTCTTGAGCCACTACTTTGTTGCCTTGGTCGTGTGTTTTGGGTCATTGTCATGCTGGAATACCCATCCATTACCAATTTTCAATGCCCTGGCTGAGGGAAGGAGGTTCTCACCCAAGATTTGACGGTACATGGCCCCGTCCATCGTACCTTTTGATGCGGTGAAGTTGTCCTGTCCCCTTAGCAGAAAAACACCCCCAAAGCATAATGTTTCCACCTCCATGTTTGACGGTGGGGATGGTGTTCTTGGGGTCATAGGCAGCATTCCTCCTCCTCCAAACACGACGAGTTGAGTTGATGCCAAAGAGCTCGATTTTGGTCTCATCTGACCACAACACTTTCACCCAGTTCTCCTCTGAATCATTCAGATGTTCATTGGCAAACTTCAGACGGCCCTGTATATGTGCTTTCTTGAACAGGCGGACCCTGCGGGCGCTGCAGGGTTTCAGTCCATCACGGCATAGTGTGTTACCAATTGTTTTCTTGGTGACTATGGTCCCAGCTGCCTTGAGATCATTGACAAGATCCTCCTGTGTAGTTCTGGGCTGATTCCTCACCGTTCTCATGATCATTGCAACTCCACGAGGTGAGATCTTGCATGGAGCCCCAGGCCGAGGGAGATTGACAGTTATTTTGTGTTTCTTCCATTTGCGAATAATCACACTAACTGTTGTCACCTTCTCACCAAGCTGCTTGGCGATGGTTTTGTAGCCCATTCCAGCCTTGTGTAGGTCTACAATCTTGTCCCTGACATCCTTGGAGAGCTCTTTGGTCTTGGCCATGGTGGAGAGTTTGGAATCTGATTGATTGCTTCTGTGGACAGGTGTCTTTTATACAGGTAACAAACTGAGATTAGGAGCACTCCCTTTAAGAGTGTGCTCCTAATCTCAGTTTGTTACCTGTATAAAAGACACCTGGGAGCCAGAAATCTTTCTGATTGAGAGGGGGTCAAATACTTATTTCCCTCATTAAAATGCAAATCAATTTACAACATTTTTGACATGCTTTTTTCTGGATTTTTTTTGTTATTCTGTCTCTCACTGTTCAAATAAACCTACCATTAAAATTATAGACTGATCATTTCTGTGTCAGTGGGCAAACGTACAAAATCAGAAGGGGATCAAATACTTTTTTCCCTCACTGTATACCCCAACCTGCTATAGTTGTTTTGGCAGGGTAGGCCTGATTTTTGAAGCTTAGGTTTTGATTTAATTCGAACCAGTGTTTTGGCTGTGACTGAGAATTTGTCTATTTTGTAAATATTTTTGTAGTCCTATGTAAATATCTATTGGTTTGAGTCTTCCACCTTTTCACTGTAAATAAGCTGGACACTGTTTTTTGCACCTGATCCTGCTGCTTCCTGTCACTTCCCTGAAGGTTGCTCCAACGTTCGGTCCCTACAACAAGCCACATAATAATCTTTCACTCCAACCAAAACAAACAACCATTTGGTTATAGGTGTTTTATTACAGTGTAACAATTGACTTTATGTTTAATGAGCCACATGAGGATAACATTAGTCCCATGAGTGAACCAGTGAATAAAGAAATGAACTCACACGTCAAAACAATGGTTGTTATTTGTTGTAAATACAATTTAATTAAAGTAAGGCTTTTGACAACTCTTTACATTGATCTGTACACATCTTCAAATGTATAATGTATGGCAAACTAAGACATCTAGAATAGAAACAGGGAAATGTATTTACAGATACTGGAGAAATGTATATTGTTTTTAATACAAAGATATTTCTCACTAGAAAAGGTTACATTATATGAAAAAAATTATATGAATGTTAGAATAAAACATTAAATACAATTATTTTTACAGTGATGAGAACCTCACTAACATCACAAAACAAATAATGACTGTCCTATCTACAGTATCAGCACCCACATGAAAAAAATACTATAGTATACTACAACTATAGTATTCACTGTAGTGTTTCTGCGGACTTCACTGTAGTGTTTTTGGCATAACTGTAGTATTTACAGTTTACTACAGTATAAATACTGTAGTATTACTATAGTAAAAAAAACTATTGTAATTACTGTAGTGTTTTTGCTGACATTATTGTAGTATTTACTATAGTGTTTTTGTTTTATTATCTTTGACAGAGAAGTGGGGGCTTTCTCCTTGAGGACACTTACTGGGCAAACACTAAAAGAGCTAATTTTCCATAACCTGTAGGTAGCCCTGGAGTCTGAACCAATAGTTCAGAGCCTCTGCTCTTTTCTATAACCTGTAGGGAACACAATATAGTCTATACGTGGCATGTAGGTTTCTCACTCATGGGTGGCACAAATTAGAATATGGGGGAATGGGTGGAGTATATGCAAATTAAATACTGTAGTATTACTATAGTTAAAAAACTGTAGTGTTTTTGACATTTACATTACATTTACATTTACGTCATTTAGCAGACGCTCTTATCCAGAGCGACTTACAAATTGGTGCATTCACCCTATAGCCAGTGGGATAACCACTTTACAATTGACTTTACAATTTGACGACAATGTAGTGTTTTTATGTATATTATTGTAGTATTTACTAGTGTTTTTTGCGGATAATTCTGTAGTATTTACTATAGTATTCTACAGTATACTACAAAATGATATAGTAAGCACTACACGATCGAGGGATACTACAGTGTGTAATATAGTATACTACAGTATACTACAGTTTACTACAGAATTCTATAGTAAGTGCTATCGTATTCTATAGTAAACTGTATTTTTTCCTGTGGGTGAAAGTCCAAACGTTCAACAAACAGTAGGGAATACAGACAATAAGCAATTTCTATTCCTCTAAAGTAAAATGTACAAAGGAACTCCTGTCTTAAATTATCTATTTCAAAAATATATGTTGCATAATGGGGGCCAAAGGCGCTTCTGACAAACATTTCCGGGATATTGTTTTACATTTATCATTTCTGCGAAGCTGAAAAAATCTAATGAATTTTCTTTCGACATGTTCTGAATTATTTATAGGGTGTGTTGCTAAAGCTGTGTCTGTCCCTAAGTGAAGCCACGTGAGCCGTGAAGCTGAAAAACAAATGGAGAGCGCCCAGAAATGAACTCTACGGATGTGGTCAACAGTGGGCAATTAGGCACACTCAAGCCAACCAAAGTTCATTTAGACAACGCGGAACAATAACAAGCCTGGGCTGAGTCATCAGAAGCCATTAATGAGGACTTAATCATGTTGTTCTCATCGGTATACAAAGACCGCCGCAGCTTCTATGCCCACTTTGTTGCATTAGCTTCACAAAGTTTCTAAAAAGCTTGGCGAATGTTCTGAATGAGTAAGACTGGATGTACTGTACAGGACAAATAGACTGATTATCCATTATCTACCCGGCCCTGTGCTGAACTAGCCTCTATCAAAAGGCCTCAATCAAGTGTTTTGTACAACTAATCGCTGTAGAATTAATACAATGATAATCAGAGCGGAGTTATGGAGGGTGACGTAATTTCTCTTCCCCAAATGAGATCCTAATCGTATTGTATTAGATTTGGGGTGGCACAGGCAACACTGTGAAAAACTCACCGCTTGTCCGGGTAATGACTCCCCCTAAAACTGGCACTTTCAGCCCCCCACTCCACCCAAGTCTGCCCCGGGTTGTGACAGTGACATAATGTCTTCTAATGAGATTTCTGAATCCACAAAAGCCTTGTTCACACTGCAGGCCTTAATGCTCAAATCAGTTTTGTTTTTCAAATTATCTATTTCAAACAGCAAGTTACAAGTGAATGTCCAAACAGCAAGTTACAAGTGACCAAATTGGATTTGTGTGTTCTGACAGCAGTTGCTGACAAGGCTACGCTAGTTGTCATAGTAATGATGTGTGTGTGTGTGTGTGTGTGTGTGTGTGTGTGTGTGTGTGTGTGTGTGTGTGTGTGTGTGTGTGTGTGTGCAGTGGTGTAGGCTGATTGGTGGTGCTTGTGATTCCTTTCACTCAGAAGTTATGTAGCAAGCTAAGGTGGCAACAATGCCTGCCATGGACGTTTCCCAGTTGCTTTGAATGTTCAAAATCATAGTGTAAGAACACTTTTAGAGCCTCAAAGGATAAGATGATCCAGTCCTTTTTGGCTAGCCACAGCATTCAACTAGCTAGCTAGGTAGCTGTTTGGCTTTCTAGTACATTCACTAATTTGTTGGTAAACAATTAACAAGTTAGTTAGCTACCACATGTTTTTGTCAAACTGTCAACAGAGTAGCTAGCAAGCAATAAGATATGCTGAATAACAGTCTAAAAACCACTTGAGGGCAAATAATTCCGATTTGACCGTTCAGACACAATTCACATGGCCAGGAATCAGAATGTGGTTTGAAATGTAGCTTGAAATATCCAATTCCATGTGCTTTTTGGCTGCTCAGACTGCAGGGAAAAGAACAGATTCAAATCGGATATGCAAATAAATAGGATTTGAGTCACTTTTAAACTTCCAATGTGAACACGGCTAAAGAGAACCTTGATTGAAATGTTCCCTTCCATCCAAGCAGCAACTTTTGTTTTTTTCCCCTTACAGTTTGATTTCATGTTGCTTTCGTGATGATTGTGGAGTGTCAGTGCTGTCGAATTAACACTGAGGGCAGAAGGCGTGATTCTTTGGGTTTGCCTGCCCCGGAAAAGTCCAGTAATTGGGACAGAATTCAATGGAAGCTGTCAACAATTGGTGTTAAAGAAATCAATCAGATCTCCGGGGAGTTTGACATTATTGCAACTGGAGGCACCCCAGGAAATCCAAGTTTCTGGTGAATTCTAGAGATTTATACAACAGTCTGGTCTAGACCAGTCAGAGGTCCTGTCAAGGTCAAGATTGGAGGTGGGATGTCACTGTGGTACTCCCCTCCTCCTCTGCTCCAGGGTGTGAAGACCCTCCTCTCTCCCCAGGGCATGCTGGGTACCCGTTTTGTGGGCGGCATCCGTAGCAGTGATGTCGATATGAGCGTATTTAGTGGAACTTTTCCCTGTAGAGAGAAGAAACACCATACAGTCCATGAGATTAGTAATGTTAACGAGTATTGTTGACCCTCCGTTCAGGACGTCATGAATAAAAATGGAATAAACACGGTAGAGAGGTTTATTAAAAAACACTGAGGGATCAGGCTTGTGTACGATTACCATTAAAATGAGAGAACAGCAATATATTCCTGTCCTTGAGCTACAGAGGAAGCAATGAGAACGACTTCAAGATTGCTTCAGTTATGCATTCTCCAGGCGATCTCATAAAGTGGACAAATCCTTATACCCGCGCACACACTCAAGTCAAAACATTCTGGGAAGATGACCCATTAGAGCGAGTGACTTCACCACAGTATTTCGAACGCCCTATAACCTTCTGTCGCAGCTAAGCTGGAACACTGCTCCTCCAAGTAATAGATGGATCAAATCAAATCCAATTTTATTTGTCACATGCGCTGACAACAACAGGTGTGGTCCTTACTGTGAAATGCTTACTTACAAGCCCTTAGCCAACAACGCAGTTCAAGAAAGAGTTAAAGTATTTACTAAAGAAACTAAATAAAAAATAAAAATAATAATAATAACACAATAATATAACAATAACGAGGCTATATACAGGGGGTACCGGTACCGAGTCAATGTGTGGGGGTACAGGTTAGTCGGTCATTTGAAATGTAGGTAGGGGTAAAGTGACTATGCATAGATAATAAACAGAGAGTAGCAGCAGTGTAAAAACAAAAGGGGGAGGGGGTGTCAATGTAAATAGTCCGGGTGGCCATTTGATGGCACACACCGGGACGGAAACCCTCTCACTGACATTGGAAATGAACCTTTCTCGCGTTGAGCAAGAATGTCCCTCATATTCCCAGAGAGTAATGACGTTAATGGTTGACCTTTCTGCCAATTAGACCGCGCTATCGCATCCCCGGGCCTGATGACAGTTGTTGCTCGGCAAGACGGGGAGCAATCAACGTGATTATTGAAGGGTTATTTCCTTATCTCCGACTAAGGGAGAAAAAGAATTGGAGGATTATCATTTACCAAGAGTCTCTCAAGTCTTCTTGGAATCGATATGCCAGTGGTCGCAAGCTATCCTGTCCCTCTTCACCATTCTGTAGTTCTGAGCGATTCGTGCTTTTTGAGGTCGGTTCGGTTTCGGTCCATTCTTTTTTTTTTTTTATCACGTTTTTGGCGTTTTGATTATTTTTCAAACATTAAATGCATGATGAAATAAAGACATTCAAATAATTTGAGCTTTTTAATGAAAATCTCAAAGCCAAAAATAGTGAACATTCAATTGCCAAAACATTGAAAATATTCCATTGCCTCTGTCAGGTCCACATTAGGTAGACATCAACAGAAAAATAGGAAATTACTATGAAATAATACAATATTTCAGTTTTGTACATTAATTAGTTTTTATTTATTTACTTTATTATTTTTTATTCCTTAAAGTCATCCTCTCATCTCTGCTCAGGCAGTAGCAGCCAGCCAGCCAGCCAGACAACCAACGTTATCTCTCTACTGTACTGTCTTTAGTCATCCAATTGATCTAGGCTAGCCTGCTTAAGTATGCTGCAGAATTGTCTGACGAAATCATTTAACTAGTTCTTCAAAGTAGATAAGGCATACTTTCACCAACTGTCTCTGTCCCTCTCGTCGTTGTGTTGTGCACATTCCCCTCTCATGCTGTCTGTGTGTATCTAGCCTAACTTAGCAGGCGTAAAAAGTCTCTGTCCGAGCCGGTGCAATGAATTATGGTAATTGTAATTAATAGAGATGGAAACTCGAGTCTGAGACTCGGACTCGAGTTGCACTTAATTCGCAAAGAAAATGACTTGCGACTTGACTTAGACTCATGATCAATTGACTTGAGACTAGATGAGAGACTCGTGAACAATGCAAGTCAGTACTGGGATAAGTTTTTGTTGTGCATTCTGTCAGATAACATGGAACAGGCGGCATTGTAACACAGAGATAGTAGTTTAATACAGAGGGCTGAAAAGCGTTCTAGAACGTCTGCGTCATTTGTACGTCACTGTAGTACTACAGCTAAACAATCGTAATCAGCAACAATGTCATCAGGTGGTGAGGCTTTCGTTATTACATTTGGTTACAAGAACCTGCAGTATAATGCCAGTGGCAAAAAACGAAATGCCGTTTGCAAAACTTGTGGAATTAACATTAAAGATGCTGCCGCAAATACATCTAACTTCATCCGACATTTGAAAACTCACCGCGAAAGGTCAGTTAGGCTAGCTAGCTAACAACATTACAATGTGGTTAGACTAATAATAGCCTGTTTAGCAGATGCCAGCTTGATATAGCTAGCTTTCTTGTGTGTCATCTTTTAGCTAACTGGAAATGTATTACTGTCGAATATTTCTCGAAAGGTTAAGAGGTGGGTTGTCAGATAGCTAGGCCTACTTGTTATCAGAGATTATTAAATTACATCTCAGCGATATGCATATCACTATGGGATTTAATATACTTTCTGTTGTAGCCTGGTCCTAGGAAGTAATTTAGTATAAAACGAGAGTTCAAAGCATGCAACTTCTTGGACATTTCTGCTGAAAAATCCCATAGACCATATATATTTGTGTCCTTGTACTTCCATCTCAAGTCAGCAACAACTATCCATCATGTTGTTCACTGAATTCTGCAAAGCAAAGGTGGCCAGCGCAGGGACAGAAGGACAGAGCAGCATTGACTAATTCTTGACCACCACAGGTGTCCATGTGTACAGCCAGGGCCACCCCAGGCAGAAGGCCATAACAGAGGCTATACTGCAAGACCTGATCATTTCCTGCAACCTGCCTATGTCCTTAGTGGACAACCCTCACTTTAGGCATTTCATGTCAGTGGTAGATGACAAATATAGACCAGTAAGTAGGCCCACGTTGACCAGGCACCTGCATGACTTAACACTGAACAAAGAGGCTACAATCAAAAGTGCCCTAGAGAAGACAGAATCAGTGTCTGTCGCTGTAGATATATGGACTGACAGGACCATGAGGGGCTTCATTGGAGTAACGGCCCATTACATGGCCATGGAAGAGAAGAGAACTCCCAAACTGGAGTCAGTTCTGTTGAGCTGTGATAGATTCACAGGGTCACACACTGGGGAAAGAACCAGTGATACATTTGAAGTAATATGTGATAATTTTGGCATAAAACATAAATTAGATTATATCATATGTGATAACGCTGCAAATATGAAAAAGGCCTTCACAGTTTGTTTCCCCAAAGCAAGCGATGATGATGATGATGATGATGTGGATAACTCCAGCCTATGGGAAGAATTTGGTGAAGAGTACAATGCTGATGTTGAAGCTATCCAAACCAACTGCAGGCAACAGCGCTTACAGTGCTTTGCCCATTCATTACAACTTGTGATTAGAGATGGACTAAAGGAAACAAAAATCATAAACTGTGTGATGGCTAAGGTAACTAAACTTTGCAGCTTACTACATACTACCTGTGGTCTGAAAGAAGCATTTGAAGCTATGTTCGGAGCCAATCGTAGTATCCCTGCTGCTGTGTCTACGAGATGGAATTCCATCCTCCGGCTTGTTAAAGCAGTCACCAATCTGAATCAACAAAGCCTCAATACTCTACTTGAGGCCCAAGGACACAAGGATCTCTGCTAATCATCAAGGGAATGGAGCCAGCTATTGGAGCTAGTGGACATTTTGGACCCTTTTTTCCAGGCCACCGACCTTACTCAGGGGGAGAAAGTGGTGACTCAGTGCTGCCCTTCCTTGTGTACTGTCACTCAACTATCATCTGAAAAGTATACTAGTCGTCACCTAGTCAGTCTTGTAAAAGCACTGAGCAGTCCCTCAAACGCCGATTCCATGGGATGTTTGTGAATGTCAGAATGGAGCACTCGGATGAACAGGCAACAAAATGTCACTTTGGTGACAATGTATGCATAATGGCTGCACTGCTGGACCCATCTTTCTGCCTGTTCTGGCTTGATCATGATGTCCTCAACCACATGAAGATAAAGCTGAATTGAAGGAGAGTCTGATTGGTAGGTACAATGCATTGCAACATGCAACGTTTTCTATGCCACTTACATTCAAATAAAATAGAATTTGTTTTCATGTATAATGTATCCTGTTATATTCTTGATTATATACATAATTTAATGAACATTTTTCAGACCTTGTTTTGGCTGAGACATGGAAAGTCACCGTTACGGAGAGCAGTAGTGGAGAAGAAGAACAACCACCTGCCAAAAACTCCAGACTGTTCTCTGGCTACCACAACAAGATCAGCAAGAAGAAAGGAGACATAAAGTCATCTGTCAGAGCAGAGATTATTCACTACATTCAAGTATCTTCTGATGAAAATGAAGTTGATTGCTTGGATTTTTGGAGAATCCATGCAAAAGCCTTTCCAAGGCTCAAGCAGGTAGCAATGACAGTGTTGGCTGTGCCTGCCACCAGTGCCCCAGTGGAGAGAGTGTTTAGTCATGGAGGCCTCATCATGTGCCCTCATCGTGCCAGGCTCAGCGCAAGAACGCAGACAAACTTGATCTTTCTGAAATGTAACCTGTCTGCAACAGAAATGTTCTCTGTCTTAGGGCACAGGACGTAATTCGCTACTTGTTACAGGAAATGGTGTTTCTGTTAAGTGTCCAGGTCAGTAAGTATATTGTAGGTATATAGAACACTTTAGTAGGGCAGTTATTGAACAGTTGACAGTCATTTTAGTTTACATTTATACTTGTCATTTATCTTCCCTCACCTACAGATGTTCTGTTTGTGTGACAGAATGAAGTGAAATATAGACAATGTCTGCCACAAAATACCACGCACTTTAAAATGTTATGTTTGCTTTTTTTCATATCCGGTACAGTTACTTTTCTTCATGTAAACTGTCTACATTTTAAAAGGACATTTATTTTAATTTAAATAGTGCCTGATGTGCTTTCTTTCATACAAGTATGGACTAATGAAGGGAGTCTCCAAATAATTTACAAGGTTTATAGACCTAACCCACAGCAAGCAGAAAGCCATTGCCAAAAGGGACTTCTGACTTGACTTAGACTTGGCCCTAAAAGACTTGAGACTTGACTTCTGAGCTGAACTAGGTTGAATATTTGCTTAATGAAATCTACAACTCCCTTCAGCCCAGCGTCCCACATAGTTCTTGATGTCGGTCAATTAGTTGTTTAATAACGGGAATTATTAACCGACATTTCGGTTAATCGCTCAGCACTACCATTCTTTTCCTACCGTTCTAGTGTGAGCAACCACCAAGAGCAACCACCAAGAAGTCTGAAATACAAATGTTCACACTTGAGTCTTGTGCTCACGCAATAAATACACTGTGTGCCGCTTGATATTGTCTTTGATGACAATATCACTTTGAATATACAGTGTACTTACATGTCAGGGGAGGACGGTTCATAATAAAGGCTGGAATGGAGTGAATTTATTCCGTTCCAGCCATTACTATGAGCCTGTCCTCCCCAATTAGGCATGTGCACTTCAAGAGGCACATCATGTCAATTGGCTGTAGAAAAATTCATAGCAAGACCGAAGACATTGGAATCACAGAAGAGCAGACCACCAAAGACAGGTTGTTATTGAGAAAATGGGCTCTTACTCTGTCCTGGAAGGTGTTGGCCGGTCCCCCTGACCCCAGCATGCTCCTGATGTTCCAACTCCATGTAGTTCAGCTGTTTCTTAGACATGGGGCTGATGGGAATATTGACGTAGGTCACACCATCACCGCGGCGTCTTTCTGGAGCCACCATGTCCGGCGGAAACACAAACTTGGCCCCTGCCAATAGAGAAATACCAGGGTGTTTCATCTGGGGGCCTAATGAGGCTGACTTATCAGCAGGCACATGTGATGCATTCCTAAAAAATATAAAAAATCTGCCTCACTGCAGTGACCCACACGTGAGTGTTATTTCCAGAATTCACTTCTCTACACTATTCTAAATATTAGTGACCAATTGGCAGCCATTTTGTGGCACTTAACATGCTGCTGTGATTTTCTGTTGGTGTCTCCATCAGGGGAAAGCAATGGTCTCATAGAAACAACTAGTCCTTGATAGGACCTACAAAATGTATTAGCAAATGTGTGCAACTGAACCGACTGTACAGATGCCATATCTTAATTTAATCATCCTGTTGTTGCAGCAGGAAATGCAAACTTGTAGTGTATTCAAGGTTTAAAAAGGCTTCTAAAGTTTGCAATTTCCACTTAAACATTTCAGACTTGATTTGCACTAACAAAAAATGTATCAACCCCTATAGAAAATGTCAATTAATTATAATCCACATAACAATTCACATTTATTGTTGCTGCAGGATTATTTTCCTGCTGTAGCAAACTGGCTCAAATGAAGATCCGTTATCTGTACATACCCAGTACTAAAGTCATTATTTATAGCTGAACGGTTGAAATGGTGGGAAAAATACATCGTAAAACAACCAAGAGATGTCTATTGTATCAGTTTTAACAGTCTTTCCTGTCAAACACACAAATTAGACAAATAGAGCGAGCCAATGTGTTCCATCCACATGCTTTGCACCTGCTCTCAGATAGTGTACAGAGTCAAGAGGAGGAAGTCCCCAAAGAGCTTTGCCTATCATAAAGCTGAAAGCCATTCAGGGTAAAGAGAGGAATACATTACTGGTTGGCTGACTGCCATTGACCTCAATGTCTTATTCGTACAATGGTATAGACCACAGCTAAAATATGTACATTTCAGAGCAGTGGCTGTTTATCAGCAACAGTAGGTGCCAACACTTTTCATAAGTTGATCCATCACGGCTTTCCCACCCTTGAATTAAATAACATATACAACTAGGGATTTGTGAAGGATCTGATTCAAGGGCTATTACAGAATTTGGTGTTAACCTTTTGGTTAGCGATGTAAATCATTACTACATTTACATTTTAGTCATTTAGCAGACACTCTTATCCAGAGCGACTTACATGAGCAATTAGGGTTAAGTGCCTTGCTCAAGGGCACATCGACAGATTTTTCACCTAGTCGGCTCAGAACCAGCGACCTTTCGGTTAATGGCACACCACTCTTAACCACTAAGCTACCTGCCGCCCTGCTCATGTAATCTTTTAAATGCTTCAATAAAATACTGAAACTGCAGTAAGATGTTACTACATCTGCTATTGTAGCCTCTGTATCTGCTATCACCAATGGCACGATGCAAAACACTGGAAGTAGCTGTTTTTGAGTAAACATTGTTAAATCACATTAGTCAGTGTATCTACTCCCTATAGCCAGGGGCTATTTTCTGGAAGAACAAACACAGCATTAAAGCAGAAAGTTGTTTTGTATTAAATAATATTTATATGTTGCAATTACGAAATAAACACACTTTTGACATTTTAATTAAACCAGTTGCATTATACTTAGATAATATAGTCGCATGTCAGGATTACTTCCATGACATTACTAGAATCGACATAATTTCATTATTTAAATTGCGAAAGACAAAGAGCGCCCAATACACTTTCCGTACCTATCCTGCACATGCTCAGTCTGGAGCACAGCACGTGTAAAAAAGGAAGTGGATCGCAATCATTGCTTTTGGCTCTTTACTAATTTAATTTGATAATCCTTTGCCATCCTCCTAAATTTCGTGTAGTCGTCCGCTTATAGTGACAACCACATTATATACCACCTTTTTGATAACACTAGGATTATAGCTGTTCACTATTTTACGTAATTTACGGAACTGAAATACACCCAATTGTGAATATCTTTGGTCATACTATCCGACAACATCCACCTGCATTTTGGTAAGTAAATCAACAATAGTGATTCCACAGTATATAGTTATACATTTAGGATACCTTGTGTGTAAATAATATTTGTCGGTGCGTTGTGTTCAATTAGACTAGCTGTCGTTCCAATGGCTACATAGCATAACATGCTAGTTTATCTTCTGGCTAATGTCCTCTCTTAGCTAGGTAGCTACACTAACGTTAATGTAGTTTTGTTGATTCTCTTTTTTGACTGACTCATGTCAATTTTAGGCTAATTTTAGTTGTTAAAGGGTTGAGAGATATCAGAAGTTGCATAATATTAAATGTTCAAACATACTGTGCTAACTATTGTTTGGCACTAAAGCCTTTAGTAAAGGTTGAGGAAAGAACATGTTTTTAATATTTTCGAATGTTATGGATTTCTTTCTTTTTTCTTCTTCAGTGATATGAATGTGCGACACCCTTATCCATGCACATACTCCAGTTGTCCAAGCAGATTGAAAACATGGAATGCTCTTAAAAGTCATTTATCCAGATCTCATGCTAAAGAATACCCTAAAGCAAGTACTGAGCTGGGAACATTTAGCTGCCATCTTTCTCCACAGAGTGTCATAGCTTCTGCGAGAGATTACTTTTCCCATATTAGCAACCACTTGAAGAGGTTTGAAACTATCACTTGCATGTTTCAGAATTGTTATTTTCATACAAACGTATATGGAACATTCAAATCTCATAAGAACAGGAAGCACAACACTTATACTATCAAATACTTTAAAGTTGGAATAGAGAAAAGTACTACTGAAGACTTACAGGACAACTCAGTTGTGGAAGTATCTGGAGTTACAGACTTTGGTTCTGGGACAGATTCAGATATGTTAATTGAAACGGGCTCAGAGACTGACAACCTTCCAGACATAATACAGCAAAAATTTGCTTTTAAAATTTGAGGTTTTCTCACATGTACCAAGCTCAGCAATTGACGAGCTGCTGGAGGAATTGCACTTCATATTGACCACTGCAACAGGGCCTATATCTAACAGCATTGCTGTTGATATATCCAATAAGCACAACCTCCAAGTTGACCAGTTGATCATTGAAGAGCTAGGCACTGCTTTCTGTGCTCAGAATCCGTTGTTAAAAGCAATTGGAACGGATGGCCCGCTAGCTACAGCTTTCAAACGCAAAAAGTTCTATAACTTTTCAATGTTGTTGACCCAGTTGAATATGTACTTGAAGCAAAGACAAACATAACCTTTCAATATGTCCCCATACTGAGGGCCTTACAACAGCTGTTAACTTGTAATTATGTGCTTGATAAGGTCATTGATAAGCACTCAACACATTCTGAAAATCATCAGCAGTATACATCTTTTCAGGATGTTGAGCACCACAAGAATAATGAGTTTCTGTCAGGAGACGATATAAGAATTTCTGTGTGCTTGTATGTAGATTTTGAAGTTTGCAATCCATTAGGAACCTCTCGCAAGAAACACAAATTGTGTGCAGTTTACTGGATTATAGGCAATTTGCCACCAGGTTGTAACTCAGCACTGTCCTAAATTTATCTGGCATTGTTATGCAAAAGTGCCGATGTAAAGACATATGGTTATAATAAATTATTAGAGCCACTTTTGCATGATCTTGTGGCCTTAGAACAACAAGGGATATTTATTCCACAACTTGGGGTGTTTATCAAGGGCACAGTACAGTGTGTTGTGGCAGAACCTTGGGGCTCATGGGATAGCTGGATTTGTTGAGAATTTCTCTGGATAATTTTTCTGTCGCTTTTGTACAGCTCAGTGCTCAGACGTGCAGTTGAAGGAAGTGAAATCAGGAGCATTCAATCTCAGAACCTAAAGAATTTCACCAGATGTGTGTCACAGCAGCTCAGGAGAAAGTGGTAAGCTGCTTTGGTGTGATACTGCGTACCCCCTGACATTGTGCATGATCTTTTTGAGGGAATAGTGCCTGTCAAACTTGCACTTTGTATTGGATTGCTTATTTCTAAGAAGTTGTTCACTCTTGATCAACTTAATGTGCTAATTTGGGCGTTTCCATACAAATGGGGAGATAAGACAAACCGCCCCCATTTGGTACAACGCACATTTCAAAATAAAAGGACAATAGGTGGCAACGCGCATGAAAATAGCTGTTTGCTGAGGTTACTTCCTTTTTTGGTTGGGAGACTTGTACATACTGATGAACCTGCATGGCAGTTGATTTTAGAGTTGAAAGATATAGTATAACTAGTTGTTGACCCTGTACATAAATCAAATCAAATCAAATGTTATTGGTCACATGCGCCAAATACAACAGGTGCAGACATTACAGTGAAATGCTTACTTACAGCCCTTAACCAACAGTGCATTTATTTTTAACAAAACAAGTAAAAATAAAACAACAACAAAGTGTTGAGGAAAAAAAAGAGCAGAAGTAAAATAAAGTAACAGTAGGGAGGCTATATATACAGGGGGGTACCATTGCAGAGTCAATGTGCGGGTGCACCGGCTAGTTGAGGTAGTTGAGGTAATATGTACATGTGGGTAGAGTTAAAGTGACTATGCATAAATAATTAACAGAGTAGCAGCAGCGTAAAAAGGATGGGGTGGGGGGGCAGTGCAAATAGTCCGGGTAGCCATGATTAGCTGTTCAGGAGTCTTATGGCTTGGGGGTAGAAGCTGTTGAGAAGTCTTTTGGACCTAGACTTGGCACTCCGGTACCGCTTGCCGTGCGGTAGCAGAGAGAACAGTCTATGACTAGGGTGGCTGGAGTCTTTGACAATTTTGAGGGCCTTCCCCTGACACCGCCTGGTATAGAGGTCCTGGATGGCAGGAAGCTTGGCCCCAGTGATGTACTGGGCCGTACGCACTACCCTCTGTAGTGCCTTGCGGTCGGAGGCCAAGCAGTTGCCATACCAGGCGGTGATGCAACCAGTCAGGATGCTCTCGAAGGTGCAGCTGTAGAATTTTTTGAGGATCTGAGGACCCATGCCAAATCTTTTCAGTCTCCTGAGGGGGAATAGGCTTTGTCGTGCCCTCTTCACGACTGTCTTGGTGTGTTTGGACCATG